GAGCTCCGCACCAGCGTCCACCGTGCAAACCGTTGGGACACCGAGGTCGTCAGAATGTATACTCAAAATAATAATATTTAATAACTAGCAGGTGCCCTTCAGCTACGTAGATATAAGTACATCGAGTAGCCTACAGTACTATAATAATTTTCAGTCTTATTATTATTATCACTCCAATACATTGACTTACAATTATATGGACGTCGGGTCCGCGCTAAAAAGTGTCCGAACTTATAGGGCGTTAAAATCGTATACAGAGCGTCATTCACGCTTTAGTCTTCGTTTGTTTGACTGACAGCGAAGCAAGCAAAATTAGACAGTACTGGGATGACATTACAATTTAAAAGCTTTTTCATATTCTTTTACATGTCACTACGTTTAAATAGGTTGACTTGAGACATTTTTTTCGTGGTTTTTGTATTAGACCCGTCGTCCATTTATTTGTAAGTCAATGCTCCAATATGAAATTTATTATGTGACAAAAAGTTGTCACGCGGGTCTTGCGTAATAATGATAAAAACGCTCAGTCCACATGAGTTTATTGTAGAAGGAATAAATAACAAAGTAGGGAAAAAGTGAAGAAAGAAATAGGCTTTAACAAAACAATGGTATAAAAACAGGTTCAGTAATATAAAAACACTCCCTACAAATTGACATAAACGTAAGTGAAATCACATATGAAATATATTGCTGCTTTATAAGCAGTTAGGTTTACATGATTGAAGGACACGTCTTGTCTCCTCGAGAATATTGACGGGAGTGACTACGGAACGAAGCAAAGTAAGAATGACGAAGAAAAAGAATTAAAGAACGATTCAAAATTTCAAAAGTAAGTGGCCAGGTACCAGAGATAAGGGTAATAAAGGGTAGGATGACTATGAAAGAGGTCGCATCGTCACAAAGTAGCCTATGTCCTTCTCCTAAGTCCCACCTATCTCTACACCTAAATTCATCGAATTTGGTTGACCGGTTTCGGCGTGAAAACGAAACAGACAAGAGTTACTTTCGCATTTATTACTTTGGATAATGATATTCAGCATAATGTATAATGTACACATAATATAAAGCTAACTAGTTCCATAATAAAAGACCAAAACGTGTTATAGCAGCTACAGGTTGCGACCAACTGTCTGCGAATACACATATGCCAGCAACCTAGTCGAGTGCAAGGAACTCTTTCAACAATCTCCTTGGTTAGACAATTAGGCCCCTGATTCTATCACGTGATATTTGAAGTTAGTTTATTGCGAAAAGTTCCTAATTACAAGCGGGGAAGAGTCCTTATAATAACATAACACAAACTTGTCTAAGAATTTTATTCTCCAATAATAATAATAACGCACACATGCAACATAGCCCCGCACTAGGGAAAACCCTGCGTCGCACACAGACATAAACAACCACAAATTACACTCAAACTCACAAGAGAAATCAATGTAGGCCATACAAATATTTCTCCCGGCCCGGGAATCGAACCCGGGACTTCAGCGTAGCAGTCCGGAATGATAATCGTTCGGCCACTGAGGCAGTTAAATATATGCTCGACCAAATAAAATAACAATGTCAAGTATGAAGTTTCATTCGCATAACGCGTCTTTTAATTTTGGACGCAGAACGAGAATAGACCCCCTGACCTGTGATTTCGTTCATCTGATAATTATAGTATATTCCCTAGTTTGCGATCCAGGATAGTCACTGTTATTGTACACTATTATTATTCTTTCATTCATTGCCGCATTCGTAGCGTACCGTTGAAATATATATTTTTCGCCGAAACTTGTACATACATCTATATATATATAGCATCTATGTAGGAGTACTCCATAGAAGAACGCCAAGGTCATTAATAAAAGCATTCTGTTGCTAAGTAAATTGTAAATATTGTAAACGCTGAATTGGCACACTCGCGGAAAAAGAAATTGCAATGTTAATGCTATATTGTTGTTACATATTCGTTCTTATCGTTCAATGTTACTGGGCGTAAAATTGTTAGAATAGATTCTAGTAATAGATTACTGACCACTAAAAAATAAAACAGACGCCAATCGAATTCTGCATTCACTGTGCCTTTTAATGCAATCAGTGTGCATAGGGTCAGACCGAAACAAGTTATATTATAACCTTAAACAAAATCTTTATTACACTTATTTTCTTTAAGAGATATATATAATATATATAAGAATTCTTATAGTGTCTTTTTTGAAGACGGAGTAAAATGACATTTGAAGGATTGCTAGTTTACACATCATTTTAAATAGTTATGTAGTTATTGTCGATAGTTTTATCGACAGATTGTGAAAGAAGATAAAATTTTGCCAAAAATTACTGAATTGTGAATGATACGATGTTCTAATGATTACTAATTGCGTTATTGCATTCTTTATTCTTATTTTAACAGTTGACCTACTAGTATCAAGATTAATATTATTCAAATTTTAACAAGAATAGCCGAATTTGATTATCTATATTGAATTAAAATGAAAAACTTTAAAACGTGTCTCCTCTTTGTATTTTTCACAAACGTAGTTCTAAATACAGCGTATGAAAATAAATACAAAAATTGACAATTCAAATGAACTTGTGCTCAGTAATTGTATGAATAATGGGTCGAAGATGATTCGGCTATTTATTCCATAAGCATGACCAATATTCAGTCGATAGTCGTTAGAATATTTATCGACTGCAATCACTAGTTGCTCGCAAACCGGCAACACTTTTGCGCGATGAACTGTCATTTTACTCCGTCTTCAAAAAAGACAAACATGCAAGACTTGTAATACATTGGCGGAATTATGAAAGGCACAGAACAAGCCACTAATAAATAAAGAATAAGAAGAAGAAGAAGACTTTAATATAATTTGGTAATGGTTTCCACAGTATGTAAATTTATTTGGTAAACACTCGTGTACTTACCACGCTCTCTGACACTAAGGGTCGTATTCCAGAACTCTACTCAATACTCAACTCAGGACTTGAGTATTGCAGTGAGCACTGAAAATCATACTCAAGTCCTTGCCATTAGGTTCGTATTTCCAGTGCTTGAAATAATACTCAAGTCTGCTCAAATCCTGACTTGAACATTGAGTAGAGTTCTGGAATACGACTCTGAGTGTAACAGTAAAAGCAATATCTTTAAGTACAATTTGCAACAGCAATTTTTGTATGTGAAGTAAATTACACGGTCAAAGTCAAAGAACCATTTATTCCATAAGTAAAATAAATTTACACTTGAAAACGTCACATTTAAGCTACTGCTTGTTCACTACGCTGACTTCCCTGAGAAGAACGAGGAAGAAACTTTAGGGATTGCTCTTTTCAAATAAACTTAAATGCTATGGAATACACTTTGAATTAAATTTGTGTGGATTCTGGAGCCGTGTCGTCTAACACGTAGTCTTCAATTTTGTAATATGACTTTTCAATCAAAATATTTTTAATGTAGTTTTTAAAGAGTTGTTTACCTTGATTAAACGAAATCGTGGTACTATGAGTTTCGACTTAACTCTAAGGTTAATATTACGGATATCTTCTTTCTTATTGAAATTATGTATATTTTTACGGCCATATAAAATATTTGAGTAAATGTACTGTGATGCCACAGTCATGATATCAGTCTCCTTAAACTTGTCTCTGAGAGAAACCCGAGAGTCTAGACGGTACACAGAACGGGGTGAACGAAAGGAGTCTCCCCGCACGACCTAGTTATTCCTTTCTTGTATGTCCGGCGTATGCCGATATCCTGACCAACCAACGACGAGCACCTTACGCCGATTGGCAAACCACCATGTCAAGCATGATATGTGTATGCCATCGACACGATATGAAGAAAAATGCGAAGTAATTTGAAACAAGCGCCACATTTCCGAATTTAATAAAACTAATTCCGTTTACTTACAAGACAACGTGAATTATAACGTTTTGACGTTGTGACGCTAAAAGTCGAACCTCATCTCGAATTCAAATTTTTCCGTACTAATTCGGTTAATTTTGCTTGGGTCGAGCAACAGGGATATTAGCTTAATTTGAGAATTTATTTTTCTACAAACAAAATTAAACCCGTTTGAAAAATATATATCGTACATAATCACGTATAAAACATATTTTATTTTATTTACCTCGACGTTTCAGACATATTGCAACGTCCATGGTCTCGAAGGGACTGAAGGGGCGGGTGTCAGCATCTTCTAGCCGTGCGAGTTTTCTAACTACCCGCACTTGATCTTCATTATTTATTTGTGCACTAGGGTTCTCACTACACCGACAAACAAAACACTCACGACATCCGGCGACTTGTCGGGCGATACTTGATGTCGTTTACACTTGCTGATAACTGGATCCCGTGACATGAAACCACTGGATTGAGCTTCATAATCCCAAGATCTTTTCTACAGAACGTCATCACTATAGTAGAATCGTACGTGAAGCTATTGAAATTAAAAAATACCGTAATTTCACCGAGAAGATGGTTTTAAACTTTCATCGACATTTGCAAAGTACATATTGAATACAGCAGATTTCTTGTAAAATTTCGAGGTAAGTTGTGCTATTATTATTTAGGTATTTCTATCGTGATTATTTTTAGGAGTCGTGTTTTCGCACCGTATAGTAATGAGTGTAGATCTTCAATTTTACAATATATTTTTTTCCAAAATGATTAATTCAACAGTTTCACTATAATGTTATTAAACACAAACCGTTTGAGGTAGTACAGATTCTTAAAGTTCAAGAAGACATTTCTGGGTCCAAAACCAACATCGTTTATCGAATGTAGATTTTTCGACGATTATAATAATTATTAGATTAATAGCAGTAGAGCTCCCTGTGAAAGAATTCGTCTAGGTAAGCACTGCCACCATAAGTAAGGGTGTTGGCGAAACTGCAGGCACTTGAGACTTGCAATGAAAACTCTGAGTGGCACTGCCATTTCCACGGGTAGGCGTGTCGCTTACCACCAGGTTATATGTATTATTCGAAAAAGATCTACCAAAACATAAGCTTACCTGATTTGCAGCAATGAAATCTGGATCGTAAATAGCGGGTCTGGGCTTCATGGTGGCCATTTCCTTCCGGAGCTTCTGCTGGAGATCGAAGTCTATCACCTTTGCTCGCACCATGGATTCTGCCAGGTTGAGAGGGCTTATGTCCCACCCGTCAATTTCTGTTAGAACAAAAGTTGATTACATATCTTTACACTATCACTGCACTCACAACTGCAAAATAGCAGTTAGGACGCCACGTTTGTAAAGGCGACCCGCCATAAGTAAAATTATTAGCATTATTTTTCCAGTCTCCTTTTCGAATAAGCAATAAATGTTAAAATACATGTCGATTTGTAGTCTAATTTGTTCTTTATATCATAATAAGCTCGAGTTGGCTGAAAACTGGTAAAAACAAACCTTTCAACAGTGACATACTTCAATATTTCATACCGAATGTCTGTAATATTATATACAATGTATATGTATAAATACCACATCCAAAGGTAGCCTTTTGTTGCGATGTTAGTTAGCATTGTTGCGATGTCTCCCAAATACTAAGTAGACAATAGGGTAAAGTATACAATAGTCTATATTAGTATACAATTTCTGATTACTTAGATGACAAAAATCCATGGTAGTAACCCGTTTAGCTCATGGAGGTAGTCTCGATCTCTGATCTTTGAAAGCAAAACAAAAAGTATACTGTAAATGTTGAACGCGTACAAATGTTATTTACAAAGAGCAACCCCTAGAGTTTCTTGCTCGTTCTTCTCAGGGGAATCTGCCTTACGAATGAGCGGTAGAGTTTAACCAATGTGACGATTTCAAGTGTAATAATCCTTACCTATGAAATAAAGATTATTTCGATTTTGATTTTTTTTTTGATAGTACGATATTTGACTAGTTTCAAAATAATAAATTATAAACATTATATTATATTCGTTGAAGAACAAAATGCTTAAAAGCACTCTGACAGGGGCTCAAAAGAAACAGCTATATTTGTTTGTGACGTCACAGTCGTAATAACGGCATACAAGCTGCACATTATTGATTGCTTGGCTAAAAATAGACAAAGCATCACTACTGACTTTACCCATCCATATTTCGGATGTTAGTTGAGTTAACGATAAACATTTTTTAGGTTCATTTCAGCTTTTCATAATTTGTACTTTATAACGTCAAATACCATATTACTAAGCTATTACCCAACCACTTTGCTCTTACTCTTGGTCACACATGACATTTAATATCAATACTCATGTTGACTATACATAATAAATTAGTTCTTATAAATTTTGTAACAATGTAATAGCCCAAATAATAAGCCTCGTTTATGGAGCCGCAGCGCGTTGCGAGGCATGCAGCACGCATAACAGATTCCGCGTTTATAAGAAGTTAATTGAATCAATAAGTCTTTAGAGTTAAAAATCCCATTTGTTATTTTTACTACTATTATATAGCGTCCAGGATGCTCGGCTTCGTATTAAGAAATAGTAAAATCTTTCGCAGTGTTCGAGCGAAAATACTTATTTACAACGGCTTAGTTAGAAGTATACTAGAATATGGAAGCGTGGTTTGGCGACCCCACTATGCTGTTAACTCTTTACATTTATAACGGGTGCAAAAGCGCTTTTTATGGCACTTGTCATTCTCTGTGGGTCTTGCAAAAAAATTTAAATCGTACAACAGGAGACTTGCGCATTTCAAAATAACGTCTCTCTCGAAGCGCAGAGAACTTTTAGATATGGTTTTCCTATATAAGATTGTTCGCTATAAGGTTGACTGTCCACAATTGCTTGGTAATTTAAATTTTAAGATTCCTGCCAGACTTCCGAGATCTCATGTAAGGCTTTTTCACCCGCCTCGTCGTAGAACGGTACTGGGTTGTAACTCCCCTGTAGCTCGCATGTCTAATCTATATAATGACTGCTCCAAACACGCCGATATATTTCTTGACTCGCGGCTAGGTTTTAGAAACAAAATTCTTACTTTTCTTGGTTCGACCAGATAATATGGTTAAGTATTTGTTGCGTTTTGTATTCTGCTTAAAAATATATATATCTTTTTAAGTTAGTTTCTTGGTCTTAAAATTGTTAAAACTGTTATTGTTATTTTTTGTTTCCTCTTCTTTTTCCTTTTAATTTATACACACATGTTTATTTTTGCTTGAGGTGCTCGCCTATAAATGGTTACGCAATTAGATTAGTTTGTGAAATGTATTACTTACTCTTGAATTATTGTAGTAACTGTTGGTGTGCCTAATAAATAAATAAATAAATAAACAAATGTCAATTTTGTTGTATCGCATGTAGATTTTTTTTAACATTACTTTAAAACTGATTTTCAACTCGAGCTGTAAATTATTTTACACTTGACAGAGAAGAAATATACTAGAATCTTATCCATCTTTTTTGCCAGTATGTCCCAAGGCTTCGTCCAGTTACTTATACTATTTCATTGTCTATGTGGTACTGGCAATGGGTCCATATGACGCGATTCTCAACGGCTTGCCTATGAAATATTTCTTCTACTTAACAGTAGCAGTAAAACTCCTTGTGAAAGAGTTCGTCTAGGGAACTGCCACCAAACCTATTCTGCCGCCAAACAGTAATGTAAGCATCATTGCGTAAAAAAGCAAGACTATAAATTCTTAATCCAGTTAGCAGTTCTCTTGTATAAATAATTATAACTTTTTATTAAAAAAAATATCTATATGGCAAGTTTTATAGTTGAAATCGGTTAGCGGAAAGTGGGTGTGGAGAAATTAAAATAAACCAGATTCATCCCCTGATTTGCTGCCCTTAGAATTGTAATATTTTCTTCAAATATTAAATGGGACTTCAGAACCTCCTCATTTTTTTAAACTCGGTTAAAAACTGAAAACACAAATGTTACTTTTTTGATCGAATAATTTTTATTTAGTAAGTATATTATTTGATTTTTAATACAAGCATCGAAGATAAAGAAAAATTTCACAAAAAATCTCAATAATACAAGTATATTAATCAATATCACAAGACCTAATGCTAAGGATAATATTGAGCAAGTAACCACTATAAAGGCGCATTTATTAGACACGAATTTAATCGCGCTTACCCCGCGCGGTCGCCACGCGGAGACCGCTTTGCCGCTGTGCAGCGACCGCGTGAATCTAACTGTCAGGCAAAATTTCAATTCCCAGCGTGAAGTCGGTAGAAATGGTCTGGATTAACGAGGATGGACGAATCGAGAATTGAAATATTTGTTGATGTAATATTGAACCGTATTCTTGCCTACAAGAATATTACACTCTGCAACGGAATCACGATTTCTCACGCGAGCTCGCGATTGCTATTAATATCAATCGCGAGATTGTGGGGGTGCGTATAATTTGAGATAAAAAAAGATGGCTTCATCTGATTCTTCTTCCATTAAGATATTTAATAAACATTTACGGGCTATTTTACTTCAGCCGCGTGTTTATAGCTAAATGAATAGAACAACACTGAATCTTCACTATCCACAACCACAGCGCGAGCTGTTAATGGCAATTTTTGGTGGAAATAGGCAAGATTTCAATTTTCGTCTCGTCTCGCTTCGCCGGTGGAAAACCACCTTCAGCGTGGTGCATTCAACATAACGGATATCAGGAAATAAAATTATTTGAGCAGTTGTACAAACAGCCGCGCAATTAATTTATTAAGTAATTTACTTTGGCTTGTTTTTTATTTAAAGTAATTATTTGCAATAGCAAATACAATAATTACATTAGTGTTTTCATCGTTTCAATTTTAGTTATATGATAGTCGCTGTGTATCGTTATAATATAACTTTTACCCACTACAAGGTCTAAGGGTCGTATTCTAGAACTCTACTCAATGCTCAAGTCAGGATTGCACTGGAAACACAAGCACTGGAAATACGACCCTAATGGCAGGGACTTGAGTATGATTTCGAGTGCTTTAAACCATACTCAAACCCTGACTTGAGCATTGAGTAGAGTTCTAGAATACGACTCTTAGAGCAGCGTAGGGATAGTACGTGAGTAATTCGTTTGATTGTGACGGTGTGACCTCCTTACACCGTCATCTCCCCTTTTTGTATCGTATCATTTTTTCTTTTGCTTGTATTTAAATTTCAAATGTGAATTGTTCCATCTTCCTTCACTTTCTCATTTTTGCTTCGTACCACGGTCACTCTCTGCTTGACCGCGATAGCGGACAGAACTACTAAATCAATTTGTCCAATTTTTTATTCTTTTCAAGTTTAATCATAATACAATCAATGTAAATCTTGCATCGGCCATAATGAGCGATTATACGCGATGGAATTTGAAACAGCTCCGACTGTTGTGGCGGTCGAGCAGGGAGTGACCATGGTACGAAACAAAATGAGAAAGCGAAGGAAGATGGAACAATTCAAATTTAAATACAAGTAAAAGAAAAAATGATAGGATACAAGCGGAGAGAGGCGATACAAAAAGGTGAGATGACAGTGTAAGGACACCGTCACATGATGGTACCGTCACGCGTCATACAATCCCGTAAATTTTATAGGGTTCGTTGCAACGTCGCAAGTGAACGAACAACGTTATCTTTAGTCATTTGAATTATTAAACTCACCCAATTAGTTAGTTATAATTATTAATACAAAGGTCGAAAACTAAGAAAAACTTTTTCAGAAAAAAAATAATTTAATAACATTGTAACAAAACATCGTGACATACAATAAAACTTAATATTACAAACTTACCCAAGTCATCTGGATGCACCATAGGCAGCAACTGTGACATCGGCACGTGTACTTCGTTGCCACGTTCGTCGAAACCAAGCCGCACCATCGACGCTTGTGTGATGGAGCCGTACCTGATCACATCAGTTTCGATTTACAAACACGTCGACAGAAACTTCAGAAACTGTTTGCAATTTATAACCATATTATTTGTACTCATACCAAAAAAAAAAAAAGAAAATATTGTACAGCCCGAAGTTAACTTGAGACTTCGCTCGGATCCAGTTCCGTGATTTCCTAATTCATATTCATAATTCATTTATTCATTGTGTCATGTGGATTAACAGAGGTGTTACATAATAGTATTCTAGCACATGAACCCTGTAAGGGCACTACAACGATAATAACTATCTAATTATTAATTTCGTATACAAGCTGTCATTAATTACTACAATTATATTAAATTTATCAAAACCAATATAAAAATTTAGATCACAATAATTAACATTGAGAAGAATAGTGTGATACACTTTTTTTATGATTCTGTTAATTAATTTATGGTCAAAATTGGAAATTAATGCTTGAAGAAAATAAATTATTAATACAAAAAATAATAATAATAATGGTCCAAGCATATTATGTTCGTAAATTATGATAATTTAAACGAGATAAAAATTAAAGTATGTCAAAACCATTTGCGGAATCGTACCGAGAACTGAGTATATTAAGTTCGAGATGTCGATTCGCGAAACCTATTTTTTTTTATAATATCAAATGTCGGGACAAACAAGTCGTGCGCCTGATGGTAAGCTACACGCCTGTCCATAACAGTTACAGTGCCACTCAGAGCTTTAAATCGCAAAGATCTGAGGGGCATTGCCACTGCGCCCGTCACCATTAAACATAAGTTAACGCATTTACTCAATGCACACACTCAATAACGCACACACTCAACATGGCCCCGCACTAGGGAAACCCTGTGTCGCGGGTGCCATGGACACACACATAGACAACCACAAATTACACCCAAACTCACGAGAGAAATAAATGTAGGCCATACAAATATTTCTCCCGACCCGGGAATCGAACCTGGGACCTCTGCGTGGCAGTTTGGCATGGTAACCGTTCGGCCACAGAGGCAGTTAAACACAACACACAGTTAACAAGTCCCATGTGTAATTTCACCAGCACCCCTACCCTTCAAATCCGGAACACAGTAATGCTGACATTACTACTTGGCGGCAGAAATAGGTAAGGTGGCAATACTACCCTGGAGGAACTCTTTCACAAGGGGCACTACTGCTACTAAAAACCATCGTCATCCTCCTGTCTTTATTTATTTCGAGTCGGACCTTCATCTTGCATTCATCTCTATCACCCATCACCTCGTCGTGCATTTATTAATTTTGGTAAACTCTTACCAGTTAGAATCTTGCTGTCCGTTTTTAGTATTCCACGAGAGCTGGTGTCTGTTGGCAAGAACAGCTGCTGTGAAAGTGGACCCGTTGTTTCCACCCCACCCCACCAGCATCACCCCCACTCTGCCTACTCTCCGTTGAGTTCGGATGCGTAACGATGTACGGTACGGTTTTGCCTGGTGTAAGAAAGAGAGCATATATAACGTTTACTTATTGTCGTAATATATCACGTAATCTACGTCGTAAAGGGAAAAACTGAACTATACAGGGGCGAGAACATTAGAGCGGAGTGACCCTGATTTTGAAACTGAAAGCGATTTTTAACCGACTTCAAAAAAGGAGGAGGTTCTCAATTCGAATAATATGTTTTTTAAATTTTTATTGAATTGATATTCAATTTATGTGAAATTACTCCACTAGTTTGTTATAATTATTAATACAAAGTTTCGGGTAAAGAATCGTGAAATACCAAATACAAAGACAAGCATATAGAAAAATTCGTGAGGTCCGCTGGTTCGTTCCGTGGCTTAGTTGGTATAGCGTCTGACTCGGTATGCTAGAAGACGTCGGTTCTAATCCGGCCGGATCGAAGGATTTTTTTCTGAGTGTTCGAACTTTGTATTAATCGACTATAGGTTCTTTTTTTGCATGTATGTTACGCGAACTCTGGCGGCATTTGTGATGATTTTGATGATTCTTTTTTTGTTGGAAAGAGGGTACTTCGGATGTGGTCCCATTTAAATTTGAAGAAATTATTAATATTCCACCTCTAAGGGTGGCAACTAAGTTTGACTTTTGAGGTGGGTTTTTTTTAGTACTCTGTACTGTTTTTTTTATTAACAATGTTGGGTGTCCTATGTGCATATTATCCTTTATAGGACTTTCAGTAGTAAACACACCTCTACGGCGCTGCGCAATCGTGTGTCTTGTGTCGGATACAAGCAACCGGCAATAAGCGAATAAATATACTATTTTCATACAATTAATATGAATCGAATGTCATGTTAAGGTCGACATGTTAAAGCTCGACATGTTAAAACTCGTCTATGGAGACGAGCGTGTTACGGCGAATGAAGCGATTGCAAAGTATGTTTAGACGCGTCTTGCGTGATATACGTAGCGCACATGGCGGGCACCAAAGATATGACAACTGTCGGACAGAATCGATGATCGACAAAAAAGGCAGTGTGCACTTGTGCTTATATTGCACCTAATTGAACAAAAATCGGTCGCATGCATAACTTTGCATCACAAATCATTACTCTATAATTTTTTTTTATAATACCAACTGACGAGACAAACAAGTCGTGCGCCAGGTGGTAAGCGACACGTCTGCCCCTAACAGTTGCAGTGCCACTCGGAGCTTTAAATTGCAAAGATCTGTAAACGTACAGTTCATCTAATCTACAAACACAATGTGGAAGTTCTAGGTTAAGAGAATATAAGTGTAGAAGATTCTTATCAGTTTTCGAAATTTTCAATACAAGCATAACAAATTATATTAACATGCATACAAGTATGCTTAAGCAATTCCGTATAATAAATTTAATTAAAACTACCTCTTAAAGTCGAAAAAATTTAATTAATCATATAACAGCTGAAGAACTGATTATCCTGTCGGCTCTTTCATGTGCATACAATTTAGTTCTTGGAAACGACCAGATCGATACCGGCAAAACAAAAACACCGTGACTTTTAAGGTTATTTGAGTGGCGGACAAAACTATTACTTACCAGTAAGTCGGTCCCGTTTTTAGTTACCAAAGTTTCTTCATACTCATAGTTGGAGAGAATAAAATCATCAGTATACTGTACATTCGGGCTAGATACCGTCAAAGTTGAGGGTTTATCCATTTTGGTTACTTTGGTCGTCTGCGAAACAGTTACGTGCGATAATAAATTTCTTTTCTGTGTGTAATTTGTTTCGTGGAAATGTAATTCAGGAGTGATAATACGAGTTCTTTCACCGTTGTAAAACAATTATTAGTGTGAAATAACTAGCGACACAACCTCATCTCGCAAAAAACACCGACGAACTGTCAGACGTCAACCACTCAATGAGGCAAGTGTCATGTTATTGCATGAAATGAATGCTTTGAATGACTAAGAAAAGTCAATATAATGAATGAAGGAAAATGAATGAAAGAATGAAATAATTTAAATCTTAAAATGGCAATACCAATACCGTAGCATTATAAACTGGACCGCAATAACGTTATAACAATATTTTTTTAAATCGTTATTGCTTTCGTTTCTGTCAAAGAAACTAAATTAATTAATTAATTAACACTTCTAATCATTTGGGTTTACCTTTTATTTTATTTTTTAGTGTCTTTGCGATAATCTCCTTTTTTATTTCTCAATAATTTGAAAATAATAATCGCATTGCAACATTGTGTAAATACACACGAAAAACCGGTTTGCGGCTTTTACCATAACACACAGTTGAACTTGCATAGATAGTCCTTCATTGTTTTCCTCGAAACAATCTAGGTTAGCATTGAAATAAATTTTAAAATCGAATTGTAATATATTTTAAAATATACGCATAGCGCGTCTATGTATGTATGGCAACATAGATGTATAGAGATACGTATTTTAAAATATTCATGCACCTCTGCTCATGCGCTCTTCCTCCTTTTCGATGTTTAATAAATATACACATAGGAACTAGAAAGTACATCTGTACACCACTACACCAGAACCCCCTACCTACAAAATAACAGGCACATCTACTCGAATAGTATGACTACACAACCTATACATACTAAGTTATGGAATCTGATAAAAAGAAGACTATTCCCTCCTCCTATTCTCTTTAATACTGATGTGTGAGTGAGGCATTTTGTGTATATGAATGTGAAAGAAAATAAATCGAGTACTTTTTATTACACTCACACATGTTTAAAGTTGACTGTATGTAAGTACGTACTGCATACAATATAATATTGGGGCCCGCACTGGGTTGAAAATTACACAAAATTGAATATGAAATAGTATAAATGTGTTAGTATTATTTAAACACTCACAAAATATGAATTCTGTACAGAAATCGTTAATTTTGAATATGAAATCAAAACCTTATTCGGCTCTTCCAATGTAACAAAAACAAATGAAAACTGAATCATTAATTAATTCAATTTATTGAATAAATGCTGTCATTTATTAACAACACATACACTGAAGAGTACGTTTCTTGGAATGTGCGCTTGCTATAATAGTACAATTTATAAAGTTGTATATTAATTACGGTATAATAAAGCATGCGGGGGGCGAGGGGGCGCGCCGCGCTCTCATATTCCGTATATTGATTGTGTGCGAGGGGGCCGCGGCAAGCACGGGGCAAGGAGGGGGCCACGGCGTGCCCCACTCTGTTTTTTACGACACTGCTTTCTGTGTAACATTATTTTATTTAATTTTGTGAAATGTTTCGGTGTTATGTGTGAAAAATCTGGAAGTCGGAAACAAGATTTCGAGGTAAGGACACCGTGAAGGGTTAATTTTTGTGAGAATTTCAGTATGTAGTGTGGGAATAATTTATAAATATAAATTTATAGTTCTAAATTCCGTGTCGGCGGCGCGTACCTATACTTATATTACTGTCATACCGCGTACGTATAGTGTTTTTTACGGGCATCGTTCTAAAAATAAGTTGTAATAATTATAATTTTATGTGGCGGTTGGTGTAGTCGGTTTTCTGTAGATTATTCATCGGTGGTGAAGTGTGTGATTAGTGCGTTGACCGGTGTTGGCGGCTGTGCAGATGCAGGGGCTGGTGAGCGACAAGACGTTCCACCTCAAGTGGAACAACCACCTGCAGAACCTGAGCCAGCTGTTCACGACCATCTACTCGTCGTCAGCACTAGCCGATGTGACGCTCTCCTGCCGCGACGGGACCCTCAAGGCGCACAAACTGGTGCTCTCAGCATGCAGTCCGTATTTCGAACAGATATTCAAGTGAGTTCCATTTATAAAAATAGTGGTGGCACTTCTCATACTTGCAAGGTGTTCAATTACACCTTATTTGTTTCACTAATTTAAATCTGTTTCATTAGTTCACCATGACATCATTATTTTTTCTAAGAAGCTATTTATAATTCTCTGAACTGTATTCAGCCAAGAACATATTATTTTTATTTATATTCATATCTTTGCAACCACAATTTTTTCATAGATAATTTTTTTTAATACCTACTTATTAAACATGTGACACAATGATTGACAAATATGTTACATAAAATGTACAAGCGGGGTTAAATTTAATTTTATCTGATGATAAGAGAAAAATTCTTGGCAAATAAATATATATGATAATTTTTTATGATAATAACAATATTTGTAAAATAAAACTTTAAATATATTTTTTAAGTTTTCATTCCATTTTTAAACAGAGACAACCCATGTCAGCATCCTGTGGTGATCTTGAAGGGGATTCCGTTTTCGGAGATCAACCTCCTTGTCGAATTCATGTACAAAGGTTCTGTAGATGTGCAAGAATTAGATCTCCAATCTCTAATGCATACAGCATCAGAACTTGAAATCCGAGGACTAGCATATGAGGCTCGGGATAATGCAGCACAGATGTTGAATGTCAATCTGGAGTTCCCGTCATACTCGCAATCTTCGGTTGCATCAGCTGCATCTACAGTGTCCGCTGCATCTGCTGCAGCTGTAGCAGCTACACAGGGGTACCCCCAAGCACGTACAAGCACGGATTTGGAAAGATTGAAACAAGTAAGTTGTTGTTTGTCTATTTAACCTGTTAATCTGAGACACTTAATACACCATCCAAAAGTGCATGTTGCTTTAAACATAAGTTCTTATCTAAGGATTGCCACAAATAAGATAGAATAAAGATTAGACTAAAAAAACTGGCAGGTTATTCCATTTATTTGGGATTTATCATTAGTGCCTAGTATAACAGTTGAGAAACTAATTACCTTTTGATGCCAATAAGTAAGAGTTCTTCAAATGCATATAAGTAATGAAAATGAAATATATAACTAAACAGCAGGATAGCACCTGCCTACTGGCGCCTATGGATTTGTATTTGATTGCACTATTATAATAAAAATCCCTGGAGTTTTGTTACTTTGATGGTTTTCCTTTATATTTGGTTTGAGATTTATCTGGCACCTATATAGTCTTTTTTTTTTTAAACCCGCCATTATTGTGATATAGGTATTTTATTACACTAAGTAGTAGTTCAACTAAATGCAACTAAAAAGTAGGTTGTTAATATAATACTACATATTGTTATATAAATGCACTATTCTTTTGTTCAGTAAAACATGAGAAATTGTGATCTGTGACTTACTAGTGGAGACTTACAACACATTACTAAAACTTTCTCATTGGTAGTAACTTAACAATAAGCATGTAAAATATTGAATGCTACCATTTTTACCATAAAAATTATAAGATTTTTCTACACTGTCTATACTTAATTACAGTATTTTTTTTTTTGGAATAGACAGATCATTAAAAGTAATTTAAAAGTTTAGAACTGTTGTTGTCTATTTCTTTTTAACATCATCAATCACTTGTGTGCACATCTATATTCCCTTTAAATAACCAGCCATTAGAACTGATTTCGACAAAAACTTAATTATTTTAAAGTGTTTTTTGTTATGAATGAAAGAAACTTTTAATGAATTAAATAAACCTGTTATTCAACTGCATTAAAAATACTTATCTCAGCATACAGCTATGTTTTGACTGTATAATAATAAAAATTACATTTAGCATTCCGTTCATACTGAAGAACATCATCATTTTCGCATATTGACCACAAACCAGTACTCTAAAACCTATTACCATAGATACATGGTTCACTATAATGAATAAGATCCACAAATGCCTTCAACTACCTACTGTTATTGAGCAAGTGACAAAAATAACTTAAAAGTAAGTCCCATAAAGCAAGAATAACTATGCGTAATAACAAACTGGCTGCATGGTGTGAACCACCACAGATGAAAGTATAGCTCATTGAACTAACATTACAAAGGTTATTTCAATATAGCACGGCAATATCTTAATAAGTTTTCTACATCAAGGCAACGCAATGACGGAAGAATATGCCTGACATGCCAAGTTACCTGTAGGTAAATGACTTATGTTCCCAACTAAGACAGATGGCATGTTAGCAAAAGCAATAGCAATACAAACAATGATGTGAAAAGTTAATTTATATTTTTTGTTTATTGTTAAGTTAATTTTATTATTTATTGTACTTTTTTTATAATAATAATAACACACTCAACATAACCCCGCACTATGGAAACCCTGTGTTGCGGGACACACACATAGACAACCACAAATTACACCCAAACTCACGCGAGAAATAAATGTAGGCCGTACAAATATTTCTCCTGGCCCGGGAATTGAACCTGGGACCTCTGCGTGGCAGTCCGGCATGGTAATCGTTCGGCCATGGAGGCAGACAAATATTGGACAAATTTTGCACGAAAATGCACATTCGATCCTTTATGAAATAACAAATTAATTCCATGCACATTGTTCTGTGTTTTGTATACAACTTTTTACATTAATTATACATACATATAAATTATGTATCACCGTAAATGCACTTGTGTTTTCATTAAAAAAAAACTAATTAAAAATATTTAAAAAAAACAATTGTGTGTATGACACAGCATGATGATGAAATCATCGTATTTATACGATGGAATTATATAATCAATCAGGAGGCATATAATTGGATTTCGGATTTAAAATATTATTATAATATTTATATAATATTTTAAATGCGAAAGACGTTTGTAACTTAAATTATGACTGAATTGATTTTAGACGAGATTTTGGCGTAAAAAAAACGAAATTTTGACGTTATCACCTCATTATAGTAGTTATATTATATTTGAAATGAAAATGTATTGGCTTTTGAAGACCTTAATTTCCATGCAGTTATTACAAAATGTGAAAAAAATTTCATTCATTTTGTTATAATTAAATATTATGTTTCTTGTTGTATTAACTATAGATCCGAACGTATTTTGATATTATTTTTTTTATTTGTTACTACGTGTAATTAAATTTGATCAAATGAAAACAAAATTTTAAAAATAAATGAAAATGATATTAAGATTTTATTTTAATCTAATATTTATATAGACGACTTTCGTGGAACAACGGTTAGTACTGTGAACGCTAAATGAGAAGGTTCCTGGTTCGATTCCGAATAGGATCAATTTCACAAATGATGATTAGTAAATTATTTCTGATTTTGGTGTTCTGGGTAGTGTCCATGGATATTTCTATATCTATGGTAGTGTCCCGTACTTTATTTCGCTGCTCTGCTAGTTTTCTGAATTTCCTGATATCATACCAGGTGCTTGATGTTGGCGCATCGCAAATTATTATTATTTTGAGTACCTTTTTAGATTCTCACCTGTCCCATTGCCTTGACTATACATTTTGTTTTTTTTATTGGATATACGATATCCCCCGGCAACGGCACATTGTTATGATATATTGTCATAATTATTTTAAATTAAAATCAATATCTAAAGCAAGAAAAAATGAGGCAACGTACGTTGTTAAAAAACAGTGTTGAGTAAATTTATATCTAGAATAAATGGTTCTGAAATGCGCCATAAAAATCATTGAATATTAGGATATACGCGACTCAAAAAATATCTGTACAAAGAGTTGACGTTATGTTTATTTAATGATAAATTTATCTGATTAACACTGCTTTAAATCTAATATTGGTCATACAAAGATAGAGGTATAACATAGATATGGGTAGTTCAAAGGTAAAAGGGATTAAGCGACACTTAGACATTGAATTGGTTTTACCTGGGCAATTAAGTTTTCAGTAGCAGTGCCCCTCAGACGTAAAGCTTTTGAGTGGCACTCCAAATGCTATGCGCGTGTCGCTTACCAGCAAGCGCCTTGCCCCGTCTCTTGATATAATAAAAATAATTAATATTTATGAATATTTAATTATTAATATTTAGTATTAAAAGGTTTAAATGAACCTCCATGGCATGTCATTGAGCATAGTGTTACCCACAAATTCGACTACCTAGATATAAATAATTTTTAATGTAAGTATCGCTCTTATCTTTCAATCGTTATGATTTAATTTTGGAGATAAATTATTCAGGAAATGGGTAATTATAGTCATCCTAGCCACGAGTTGACGGCCGAAAAGGGTGACCGGAAGTGGCGGGATGAGGTGGGCACAGTCACAAAGCACAGGCAATTTAGTTGAGTCTTACGCTTGGTAGTGCTGTTTGATGAATTGCTATGACTATTATACTAAGGTCAGAGAAAATCATTATAATATTATGAAAATTATACTGAAAGTAAGTATAATAATAAATGTCGTAATACATTATTCCACGAGATGTCTTCTTACTGTTTTTGCAGAATAAATTGTCTTTATAATATAGTGCATGAATACATTTTTTTGAACCAAAAGTACTTTAACATCCAATTTTTTAAAGCATGACATCATTATGTTGGTACATCTATTGAATTTGTGTTTTTTACCACAACGTTAAGTGTGACGCCTTACCTTTTTACACTGTTCATGTAATTAGATTTTTTTATGTACACAGTTGTGTATATATGTATAATATGTATATACATTGCAACTTACAATTATATAGATATTAATTTTATGTAATCAAGTACAAGTTTTTGGTATAAAATGTATAATTTTACTATAACATTTCTTTTAAGCGTTTTTTCAAGGCAAGCTATTATAAGTTATACTGAATTTATTATGCAAAACTGTACATATGTACATCACATTATATATTATATTGGATATTGTATGTATCGCAACATTAGTAATAAGCTGACGAAAATAAAAAAAATATATATTTTATTTTATAATGGAGGATAGGAATTAAAAAAACGTAAGAAATAAAATTAGCGTGTTTTTTCATATGAAATAGAATATAGTCATATTTGGCACTAATAAATATATATTTTTTATAATATCAAGTGATAGGACGAACAAGTCGTGCGTCTGGTGGTAAGCGACTCGCGTGTCCATAACAGTTGCAGTGCCACTTTAAATCATAAAGATTTGAGAACTGCCACTGCGCCCTTCACCTTGAGAGAGTGCCTCTAATCCCTTCAAACCCGTAACACAGTGCGTACGTTATTTAAAAAAAAACTTTTGTCAGTTTCCCAAAAACTGCTTTTTGAATTACGTCAGTTTATTACTGATGGTGCAATACGTATTATGTCGCATATATATAAAACTGTCAAAATTATATAATAAACATGCGTATAGGTAGATAAAATAAATTTTCCGTGTGACGTAGTGTCTATTCTTATACATGAACGCATACAATTTAAGTGCTGAAATAATAACAAATCTTACTCATTTCATTTAGCGATCGCAATAATAATGCATTGTATTTTACAATCTGCATTCCAATGTGGTTACAAGAATTAATAACATGATGATATTTAAAAAATAATATAACAATCGAGATCAAAATCAATAGAAAAAAATTAACAAGCTTATGTAGGAGGAAGGCGGGCTAAATAAAACAAAAGTTCTATTTCGATTTTTCTAGTGCTTTTTTCCTTTTGGTTGGTAGAACCGTCCTGTGTACACAACGCACCCACATCAAATAAAGATTAAAAATGGAATGAATACGTAAAACGTGAAGTCATGGCGATATTTCTATTATTTTTTACGGCCGCGTTTTGTTTTATAACATGACGGTGAATTAATTATTTGATGTATAATAAATGCAGAAGATATGGGTGCATAGGTACTAGTGTAATTGATAATAAAAAGGTGGTATTTTCGAAACTGATATTTTTACAACGTTTATTATTATAATATATTTGAGAACTAGAATGCCAATTAAAAATAGCATTTATAACGATCGAATAAAGATAGAGTATTATTATTTTACTACAATTGTTACAAACATTATTATTTTGCTTCTACATACATTATAATCAAATTTTATCGCGTTTAAATATTGTTTTTCACTTTAACCAAAAAAGATAAATATTGAATCGAGATAACAGCCATGGCTGTAAAAATAAAAAATTAAATTCAAAAAAATACAAGAACGATAAGTTCTGTATTTAAAATTTACACGATCGAAATTTCTGGAATGTTATGATTCATTAAATTTTGTTATTTACATTTTAATTTGGATTTACAGTTTCGAGGGAGACGTGTTTAGGTGAACATTCCCAAAATAGAATTTGTTTATTTATAACGTAAATATTCGGTTCTATGAGGAGTTTTAAGTCTTGTAAAATAAGTCACGTGGAACTCTGTAGATGGCACAACCTACCTTGCCATATACTTGATCTAGACGTAACAAAGTAAAGAGAGGTGGTGGGGGTCCACCCCCTACCTAGTTTATGCATCGCTCCCCTTGCGCTCTAGATCGATGTCGAGAGCCAAACACATGGATAATAAAAAAAAAACTTGTTTTCGCTATTACATACTGTAGACTACATAATTACCCGCACTTGTTGTATGCTATGTTTCCTCTTTTGCTGGACGTCTGGCGTTTTATATTATGGAGTACTTATATTACCATTTATTACTTTTTCTTCACTGATTTCATGACATTGTACCGAAGTCAATCATCCAATAATAGACCTTCGGGCCTTTTAACAGCGCCCTTTATTAAGTATATACGTAATATATTTATGGTAGACGGGGAGATGTGAAGTGTACAGTTGAAATAATAGCCATTTGCGGGGGCAATTATTTTCGCGCGAAGCGAAAATTACTACTCAGGGTAGCAGGATGAATCCATCTATTCTCCTTGCTTTATTGTGATTTTCGTTGTTGTGCTAATGTGGCCTAAGGTTGATTTTATATTTTACACACGTTGTGACGAAATACGGCTTTGTTGACCTACTTTATATGGGCAATGAAACCATTGTTTGTTAGTATGTATAAGTAGACATATACAACAATATATGGCTTCCATTTTAAGAAGTACGAATGTAACGATAGTCGTATTATGAAATTAACTAAAGGTAGTAACTACAATAATTTGCTTTTTTGTTTTTTTAATATAATGCAAAGTAAAAAGTAAACAATTCAGCGGTCCCTCTTTTTTATAATAATCAAACAATGAGCCGAACAAGCGTGCGTCTGATGATAAGCGACACGCCTATCCATGACAGTTGCAGTGCCACTCAGAGCTTTAAATCGTAAAGACCTGAGGGTGCGTTCCGACGATTGTCGCGTATGGCCTGTTCTCATATCACGACTATCTGTCGTGGATGTGTTGTGGACGTTTATTTTATCGTTGAATGACTGTCGTGTCTACTGTTCCCACTAGAGCGTGGCGACAATTTATCGGTTCACGGCATTCGCCTTGATCGTCAAATCGTTTGAAGCTACGATTATCTGTCATCACATTTTTATCGTGACTTATTTATCGTCAGACGACTGTCGTACCAGCTCTTCCCATTGTCACGACAGTCTGTCGTCGTTACATCAAAAATGTCGGTGAACGACAGTTAATAGTGTTGTTCTGTGTTGTGTTATTCTGTTGTGTGAACAACTTCATTTAAATATACGATCCACTAGACTTTAAACTAAGTATTCGACTATCTATTGTCACGACATAATAGAAACGCGCCCTGATTTGTTTGACATTGCCACTGGCCGTCACCCTGAGACGCAAAGTTGACAAGACGCATATGCCTGTTGTTTCACCAACACTCGTACCGTTCACATTACTGCTTGGCGGCAGAAATACGTATACTGAAATAGGTGGCAGTACTTCAAAGTATGTATGGTGACGTACTTTAGAGCCCAAGCGGGTTCACAGTGTTCTATACTGTCCCAATCAGTGGAAAACGACTTCAACCAATAGACAAGAACATTCACAGCAATTACATGTTCCAAACAAAACACTATCAATAGTGAGTGTTTTGTTTTAGTGTTGAATCTTGTCAAAGAGTATCAGTTCCGTAATACCGGGGACAGACGTGACAGTCTATACTTTTTGGGATTGAGCTATGCAGGCAGCTGATATTGAGTGTTTACCAATGATATTTATCCATAGTTGGGGATTTATCCATAGTAAAGCCCCTGGCACAGTCGCTTATTAGTTGCACAATACATTTCATTTTGCTTTGACCCAGGGGCCTTCCCCTTACTATTTATAATTTATTATATTACTAAAAACAAATTAAGTAAAAGTAATAAAAATACAGTCGAGTTGTTGAAATTATTGGTGTTGTGCACTTTTCCTTGTGGAACGGCAAATATCTTTAGACCATGCAGTCTTTTTAAATTTCTTAAATTTATACGTATATGGTAACCATAATATCAATTTTATTCATAGTATCTCTACACTGTTATTGTGTAGTCGGAACACTCTGTTGATTATATGATATTGAAGTGTTGTGTCTTCACCGCACGTCAGTGAAACACAGCGTATGTTTGGAATACCGCATCTAGTACGCTAGTATCTACATAGATATCGTTGGTTAAGCATTAGAAAATATGAACTCAACAAATATGTACATTTCTCACAGTCACAATAAGCCGAACACTTGGAAATACTCCACCACTTAATTAGTCGAGGTTTACCCGAGGACCTATGGTAATAAACTAATTTAAACGACGATTTGGTTAAAACAACTCTTACATATTATTTTAAAATAATTGTATAATATGCAGCATAGAAGTTACGACCGCTAATGTAACTTGTGTGATTGTAAAAATAACAATAGATAATATTCCCCTTTATTACAACTGTAGTGGACAGTATATCAATGGGATTCGGGTGGGTGCTATCAAAGAGTGATCAATACCAAAGTAAATGTACTTACAGTTTAATAAAAATCAACGTACAGCTATCAACTAAAACAATAGTGACAATAACAAAAAAAGTAAGGATATGGAAAAAGTGTCGATACATTTTGGTATCGAGTACTTTTCCTTTCGATACTTTTTAGGTATTAGTACTTTTTGACAAGTATCTTGAATAATTCCTCCTTAGGACATGTTTAGGACACCTCATATCATAACGCAAACAACCTTGCGATTTTTTTAAATAGCAATCTTCTTCACAAATTACTCGGCTGTATAGTGTATGCCATCATTTGCCTCTTTATAAGAATGAGAATGAAGAAAAATAATTACAAACATTTGAATTAACATACCTGACAAACATTATATTTGAGTACCTCGCAATTCCGGCGAAGTTTGTTTCTTCTTCAGAAAGTTTGTTCTCAAAAGCAGGCAATACAATATCAAAAACGAGAAACAGACTGTTACCAAATAGATTTTTGTTTTTAAGTGATTATAAATTTATGTAACACAAATTATGTGAAATGACGATTGATTGAATTGATCGATTAATTAAAGTCTTTTATTATTTGTTTCAATTAAAAATCATAAATCAAATAAAAGACTTCTTAACTCGTGTTTTATTTTGTCTTTGAGTAGGGAAATTTTGTAGGACAAAAGCATCGATACCTTGAGGTATCGATACTTTTGTTTCGATACTCTGTCCCCAAAGAAAAGGCGCAAAAAACAAGTACATTTAAATTTAGAATTTAAATATAAAACTAAACTCAAAGACTATATAAAATACATATATACAAAAAAGGTTTGTAGCGACTGGTGCTATTCGCTACAATAACATTTATATATCGGTTCTAAACACCATCTGTTCCCTCAGATCCACATGTACCAACAATCAATGATGCGCGCTGAAGACGTTCGACGGCGGCGTCGTGACGATAATACCACACACACAGCTGTCAATAACATCTTGGCAGCCGCAGCTAGAGAAATGGAGGAAGCGCGCCATGCAGCCTCACGACCGGATAAAATCGTCACTAGTATACAAACGGAGCAAGACCAGGGTGAGTGCTAGGTTAAACTGTGTTGTTATACTACGTCTTGTCAGCTATAAGCTAGGGAGATAGAAAAAATACGACATAATACTGCCGTCCACTAACTAAAGGCGGCTAAGTGACATATGATCGAATAACCGTTTTAAAAATACAGCACAAAATTCTCTTGTATAAACAGTTACAACGTTTTCGCCTTATCGGAACTTAATCTAACGATGCATAGCTGGAATATCATTAAACAATTTCAATATTCTAAAACTGGGTTATGGTATTTTATCTCAAAAAAATATTTTGTCATTTAACCGCGATTTATATAGTGCGCGGCAGAATAGATTACATAGGTAACAATGTCTTCGGTAGAATACAGACAGAGCAAAATCAGGGGGAGTTGTGTAGTCTAGTTATGTATAACAAGAGGAAACATAATGTATGAAGCAGACTACAACATTTTAACAGCCGCAGCTAGGAGAAGGTAGAATTGCGGCATGCGGTCTTGCGGTGTAGTTGTAGCTAGTATACAGACGAAGCAAGATTGTAGTGTGTAGTTTGGGGGTTGGAGGTACGACATGAAAGTTATCGAGCGACAACATCTCGACACTAGCAACTAGGGAGATGCAGGAAGCGCAGGAATGAAGCCACAATGTTGTTGTCATTAGCAAGACAATGTTGAGTGGTAGTCTCGTAACTAATGTCATCGTAAAGGAATTATAAAATGTGCTTTCACATTAAAATTTACGGCAGGTCGATATTAAACACTAATGGAGAAGGCGTGTTAGACTTTGGGAGAAATGTGGCAAGCTGACACAATTACTGCTTTTTGAAAGTATAGAAAAGTCGTGTTAAATTACCCATTTACTACAACAGCAGCGGCAGCAGCTGTAGCGGCAGCCGCGGTAGCAGAAATGAAACGCGAACACGAAGAAGAAAGGCCAAAGAAACGCGTGTCCATTCTCACACCCGAAGATGACAAACTGCGCGCTAAAAAGAAGATGACCGTGCGCTTCCAAGACGACGTAAAGACTGATGAGCGCCATGAACGCTACGAACGTCATGAACGGAGTGAACGACCTAACAAATCTTCTTCGCCTGGTAAGTTATACTGTTTTTTTTTAATATTTTTATGAGATATCAAATGACGGAACGAACAAGACGTGGGCCTGATAGTAAATGACACACCGAACCATTGCTGATCTGCAGAGCACTGCCACTGTACCCGTCACCCTGAGGTCGCAAATTTGATACGGTCGCGGTGGCGCGTTCAGTGGATACATTGCACGCAAACGTTTGTCTTGTGTTGCATATTCAACACACAAACCTTGAACGCACCACTGTTGCGAATTTGGCCTAAGACAAAAAATTGTCAGGACCCATGTGCCTGTAGTATCCACAAGCACACTTCCTTCCAAACCGGAACGCAATAATGCTCATACTAGTGCTTGGCGGCAGGAATAGGTAAGGAGCAAGTACTTCCTTGGACGAAATCTTTAACAATAAGCTGTTTTTAATTTTCATTGCATTGATATTCAATTATTTTTTATGTGAAATTACTCCACTAGTTTGTTATAATTATTAATACAAAAATCAAACACTCAGAAAAAATTCCTTCGATCCGTTCCGTGGCTTAGTTGGTATAGGGTCTGGCACGGTATGCAAGAAGACGTTGGTTCGAATCCGGCCGGATCGAAGGATTTTTTTCCGAGCGTTCAATCTTTGTATTAATAATTACAACAAGCTCTGTTGTTGCTGAAATTAAATATGCAATAAAGTGTGTTTTTATACTAATTTAAAATGTAATACCTAGCAATGCTATATACTATACAGATTAGCGACAGAATATCTAACTACGGCATTTCGATTTTTTTGAATAAATTATTTTTCGTGCATGCGATCTAAAACAGTCGTATGTCAAACCGGACAGCGGCAAATTAACTGCCTAGTGACTACACTATATGCACTAGCATTGCTACCCTAAAAGAAGTCTGAATCATCTGACGTGCTCATAAGGGCTTGAACATTTTATTGAATGTAATTTCTACTCTATTGCCAACCCACCAGTTAAAGCGTGCGTGTATTGGCTCACGATACAACCTCTTAATTTCGTAGTGAAATATCTCGCATCCGCATTTTCACATAGTTAGTTTTTGCTGATTTTTGTTGAAGAAAAAATCATAAACTTGCTCAAATATATTATTAAATATTAAATAATAAAAAAGTCGATAAAAATATGGACAATAATTTTTTTTGTGTTTGTGTTGTATTTAACATGAATGCGATCGACAGGTAAAATTTGGTCGCACCGTTTTGTTTCCTCATTAACTGCCCTAAATAAAGCTCCCTGTGAACGACCAATAAAATTGTCAAATTTTTAGTCTGCGATCGTCTTTAATGCGTTTTTTGAAATAATGTACGTATTTGATGTGTTTATTGGAAATATAGCTGGATTGAGTTTTTTAATTCAAAATTGAACGTCTGCTGGCATGTTTGTCAAACTAAACGTCAGTTCTCGTCTAATCGTAGTAATGATAGATAGATAATTTTAAAGGCTGGCCAGATGTTGTTCGAAACCGGAATTCATGGGGGAGGCCTTGCAGTGGGACTGAACACGCTGTTAATAATAAGAATGAAAGTAAGTCGTCAAAAGTTTTGTTGTCTATGCGTAACCGTGGCCGAACGGTTACCATGCCGGACTGTCACGCAGAGGTCCCGGGTTCGATTCCCGGACCGGCAAAAGTGGTATGGCCAACATTTATTTTTCTCGTGAGTTTGGGTGTAATTTGTGGTTGTCTATTTGTGTGTACATGGCACCCACGACACAGGGTTTCCCTAGTGCGAGATTAGGAGTGTGTGCGTTATTATTATATTGCTACAGTCATGCCGAAATACTCTGTTTGTATTATTACTCATTGTGGTACGGTATGAGTATACAGGGACATGGCAGAGTCTGAACTATAGACAAATTTGTCAAAATTGTTTGATTTTTATTTGTAAATTTGACAAGCAAATTGGATAATTTAGAGGGCGCTTAAGACGTACGATCTTAATTCAGTTTTCAAAAGCAAACATTGTTGAGTAATCGTACTACGTTTTTTTAAAATTATGTATAAATATTAGACAACATCACATACATTGCTCTGATCCCAAAGTAAGTAGCTAAAGCACTTGTGTTATGGAAATCGGAAACAACGACGGTACCACAAACACCAGACCCGAGACAATATAGAAAAGTTTATTTTCTACGCTGACCCGACCGGGGATCAAACCCGGGACCTCAGAGATGGCAACATGAAAACCGGTGTGCAGGCTACTCGACCACAGAGGCGGACAAGATTAATATAAATATGAATGTAACTAATTGGTAAAATGAGTTTGACTTACGATACCGTATACAAAAAATAATAATAAACCGAAAGCCTTGATAAATTAATGCTACTTACAACAAATATGAGGGGATTGGTATATTAAAACTAAGTTGTCACGATGTTGTACTACCATGACATTCGTTAATTTTTCTGAAATTACTACACTAGTTTCTTATAATTATTATTACAAAGATCGAACGGTAAGAAAAATATTTCGATCCGGTTGGATTCGAACCAGCAGTGTTCGATCTTTGTATTAATAATTATAAAGTCATCTACTCTCCAATCGCCGTTTTATAACAGCAACTTGCATATTATACGTCAAAAAAAGCAACGAAGTTGCTAATTAACCAATGGCGTCAGGGTGTTTCCATAAAAAAAATATATAAATTTAGTTAAATATAAATAACCGCAGCTGGAGAGTAATAAAACTCGCGATAAACAACTTTTGTATTTATTTCAAACGTAATTGGGTTTCGTTTTATAAACGACACAGTAATTACGTCTTCATTTTATTTTATTAATACTTGATATAATACTGACTTTATCTGGTTTAATAAAATTTAAGTCTACAATGCGATTTGCATCCTTAAAACCTTAAAATTCACATAATTATAATAGTGAAACAAAAAATTTTAACGATTGAATGAATAAACTTTTTCTTATAGCACCTAAAAAGTTACAATGATATAATTGTAATGTAAGTAAGCACATTATAGTAATCCACGTACAACAGGCGGCCTTATTGTTGTGGAGCAAAAGTCGGAGGCAAGAGATGTTTAATATGGGAGATGTTTTAGTATGGGAGTGTCAGATGAGCTAAGGGACAACAGAGTGAAAGACTAAGGGTCGTATTCCAGAACTCTACTTAACGCTCAAGTCAGCTCTTGAGCAGACTTGAGTATGACTTCAAGCACTGGAAATACGACCGTAATGGCAAGGATTTGAGTATGATTTTCAGTGTTCACTGCAATACTGAAGTCCTGACTTGAGTATTGAGTAGAGTTCTGGAATACGACACTTAATGTCCTTTAAGTAAAGGATGCGTAAATGAAAATATTGTAGTGACGTAAAGAAGGGAAAATATGAATTTCCTTACGCCGACATATTTTCGTATATGTAAGTCATTTAAAAACCACAAATGCTTGGAAAAACCATATTAATTTATGAATCGTGTTCTAAGGCTTTCGTGATTGAAATAAAGTTAAAAAATAAAAAATACACGATTTTGGATGCGAAGAAAGGTGTTAATTTATGAAATTTGTTTACTGCTCGTCAGGCACGGTATGGCGGTGTCGCTGGTTCTTTATATTAATAATTATAACAAACTAGTGTTTCACAAATACTTTGTAGTAATTCACAAAAATAATTTAATATCATGGTTAATAAAACATCGTGATATGAATATCATTATTTTCATTGGTTATTGAAATAACCTTAATGTTACTGCTCGTAAGTTCATTGATTTAGAGATGCATATTACGATTACATTTTTATGAAGATCGATTCAATTGCATACGATTTAGCGATTATTTTAATCAATTCATTTCAATGCGATTTTAAAACGAATCAATTATCAATCAATTTATTACTGATTTCGTTAAGTACAGAAACGGAAAATAAAGAGGAGGGCAATGCTTTGGACATTAAGTTATATGACAGACATTATTATTGAAAAGTTCAGTTAGTTGTCAAGGATTGACATCTGTGAAAAGCAAAGAAAGAAATGATTAATGTTAAGCTATTAAATAATGTAATAAAGGTGCTTAATTATCACAAATTTTGAAACGATTTTTATGAGATCGATTCAAGAGCATACGATCCGATCCCTGGATCGATTCAGATGCATGTGATCCATTACGATCCAAAAAAGCAAAAAATCGTGCATCCCTACATTGGTTTTCTATTACCGTTTATTTACGTGAAATAAAGAACATGATAATACTTCAAAGATAAATGTAATAAAGTTTTTATGCACCACTTAAGCTAATAAACATTCATTAGCATATCAATAATGAAAATGCCCACAAATATAACGAAATATCAAAATTATTATTATAGCTTTTGAGACTCGTGAGTATTCATGTAATGATTATTACAGGTTTCTTAACGCCGGTATGTCTTTTTATTACGCGTTTGATATTTCACATCGGTTTCACGCTACGTTGTCACGGCACAGGTCAACTCGTGACAAAAATTATTTGTATCGGATTATGTCTCGAGAATTTTAATAACAAAATACATTTTTCTTAACGTGTTTTGTTATTTGTGTAAAATACGGTTTAAATATTTTTTTTTAGTGTGGCTACCTAACAGTAGGTAACTAATATCATGATAATAAAACATAATAATAATATTAATTACAATCAATATTACAATTTATAAAACGACATTTCTAGTCAACCTCAGTAGGGCTAGCATGATGTGCGCGACATGCGCGAGAGCGTCATAACGCGACATACTGCTATTCTCTCATAGAAATCCCGCGCTTTAGGGCTCGTGTGGCGTGCCGGCGATATGTCGCGACTGCGGTCGCGTCGTCTCGCAACGACATCTAACGACGAAATACAGTGCAGCATGCGGGCGACTAACGACGCAAAACTACCAGCGACCGACCGATAACTTAGTGAATTTTAGAATAATTATCGTTCCTACAGGGAAAATGAACATAGTATCAGAACTTTTTTGTTGGATAATTCCGTTTTACGGGGCCGTGCCATAGGAAGGATA